TTAAAAAGGTCCGAAGGAGACAATTTCGAAGAACACGCGATCCTGCCATGAAAGTTATCTGGCGGGATTTGCAAAAACAAATAACAAAGCGATTATCTGTCCTAATGAACAAATCTTTTGAAAATAATGTTTCTAAATTAGACTCGAGTTCCAAACCCCTTTGGAAACTCACAACATTTTTGAAAAAACCTAAAAAGCCTTTTCCAGTGCTTAAAGAAGGTGGTAAAATTTTGATCACAAATTTGGAAAAGGCTCAGAAACTTGCAAAGCAATTCGAAAGTTCCCATAATTTCAGTTTGGGTCTTTCTAGTCCTATTGAGAATCAGATTGCTCGGAATTATCTGAATATTTTCTCTCGGGAAATGGGGACGAAGTAAGATCTATAACTAAAAAGTTTCATAATATGAAAGCTCCAGGTGATGATGGAATTTTCTATATCCTCATCAAAAAAAAACTCCCAGAGAGTACCTTGTCTTTCTTGGTAAAATTATTTAACAGATGTTTCCATTTGGCATACTTTCCTGATAAATGGAAAAATGCAAAAGTTGTTCTAATTTTGAAGCCGGATAAAAATCCAGCTGAAGCTTCTAGCTACCGCCCAATAAGTTTGCTTTCTTCAATAAGTAAACTTTTTGAAAAGATAATTTTGAATAGAATGATGCTTCACATCAATACGAACTCAATTTTTGCAGATGAGCAGTTTGGATTTCGCCATGGGCATTCAACTACTCATCAACTCTTGAGAGTTACCAATTTAATTCGTTCAAACAAATCTGAAGGCCACTCAACTGGAGTTGCTCTTCTAGACATAGAAAAAGCATTCGACAGTGTTTGGCAAGACGGTTTGATTGCTAAATTGAAAAAGTTTAATTTTCCACTTTACATTATGAAATTAGTTCAGAATTATTTAACTGACAGAACTCTGCAGGTAAATTATCAAAATTCCAAATCTAATCGACTACCTGTTAGAGCAGGAGTTCCTCAGGGTAGCATTCTTGGGCCTATATTGTATAACATTTTCACTTCGGACCTCCCTGATTTGCCTCAGGGTTGCCACAAATCTTTGTTCGCTGATGACACAGGCATTTCCGCTAAAGGAAGAAGTCTTCGTGTTATTTGCAGCAGACTGCAGAAAAGTTTGGATATTTTCTCTTCTTATTGAAAAAATGGAAGATTTCTCCCAACGCTTCCAAAACTCAACTTATAATATTTCCGCATAAGCCTAGAGCTTCGTTTCTGAAACCTAGTAGTAGTCACATAGTCACTATAAACGGAGTACCAATTTCCTGGTCAAACCAAGTGAAATATCTTGGATTAATACTTGACCAAAAATTAACTTTTAAAGATCACATTGAGGGCATTCAAGCCAAATGTAACAAATATATTAAATGTTTGTATCCTCTTATAAACAGGAGATCCAAACTTTGCCTGACGAATAAACTTCTAATATTTAAACATGTTTTTAGACCGGCCATGCTTTACGCTGTGCCAATATGGTCTTGTTGTTGCACTACCAGGAAAAAAGCACTTCAAAGGATTCAGAACAAAGTTCTGAAAATGATTTTGAAGTTGCCTCCCTGGTACAGTACAACCGAAGTACATAGAATTTCGAATGTTGAGACTTTAGCACAAATGTCCAACAAAATAATTAATAATTTTAGGCAAAAATCGTTGCAATCCTCAATTGCAACGATTAATTCCCTTTATATTTAGATTAGATTTAGTTTAAGTTTTTAGTTTTAAGATATCAATTGTTATACTGACATGCAGGTTTAAAAAACCTGTTTAAAATACTGAATTGCCAAGACATGAACAATGTAAAAACACTTTGATATATATCATAACAATTAAGGCTGGTACGTTACTGCAGTAACTGGAGCACCAAGGTTAAAATGAAATGTAATTTATTTTGAATTTGGAACAAATAAAGAGTTAAAAAAAAATGAATCAAATATGGGAACAGAAAACAAAATTCAGTAGCATGAAATGACGATCCAACTTCATAGTCTAAATTTGTAGCTCCTTTATTGCATTGTTCATTACTCATACAACATTCATATTTCATTATGCACCAAATAAAAAATAATGCTGGGATTGGGAGGGACCATCAGGGCACCCGATTGAAGCAATTTGGACGGGGATAGTGGAAATGCCAACTCCTTGTTGATAACATTTTGTGGATGAAAGGCGGGCTCTTCTCCCCACTCTTTGGGGCATCTTCCTGTTTGGGGGCTTGTCTTTTTGACCGATTGTGCGATCATGTTGCTGGAAGGAGATTCTTTACTGACGCGTAGATGCGTATAGGCGACAATGCCTAACGATGCACCCAATCCGTTTTTGGCCCTTCTTAAAAAGACATGTTAAGGACAATCAAAGGTTATTAACCTTGATCAAGACAAACATAGAAGAGAGACCACTGCTGTCGGACTTAGTTTCGGTGCTACAGTGGTAGACCACTATCATCATCATCATCATCATCATCATCATCATCATCATCATCATCATAGTAAATTTATAATGATTAAAATAAGAATATGCTAACATATTACTATCCTTTCTGCAGAAAACCACGAATAACTTAATAACAATAGGTATACACTGTGTTCGGCAAAGTTGTTTGTCATACAAATTTTAAATATTTAACTTGTGTTAGAACAACTATAGGTCATATTTCGATACCCACTTTTGATGATTGATTGACATTATGCACCTAAAAAACCGTGATTTCTGAGAATTGAATACAAAAAATCTTGCAAAATGAAGGCATCTTTAAATCTCTACATCACGTTTTCCAGAGCTGCCACAATATCAAGAACAACATTTAAAAAGGGCACACAAGCCTTTTGTAAACAAACCTTCTTATGCCCTTTTCTCGCTACCCATATAACACCCACGCAAACCATCAACATCACCCGATGGGGAAAACTTTCCCCTTCCCGATGATGTTGTTTGTGTGGGTGGGCGAGAAAAGGGCATACAAAGGTTTGTTTACAAAAAGTTTGTATGCCCATTTTACATGTGGCTCTTGATATTCAAGTTTTTTTTTTATAACATCCCTGATAAAATGTTATGGTTAATTTGCTTAACGACCTGTTCGGAGTATCATCCAAACCGTTTATGGAATAGTTCAATCATTTGGGTTACCGTTCGTTTATGGTTATTTTAATTAAGGATCATTCCCGCATAAATGCGAACCATAACTTGATCTTACCGAAAATGGTTAAACATTGTTTAAAATCCCCGCCAAACTTTAACTGAAATGGTTATGGAACTTTACATGAACGTTTGTGAGATAAAGTTATAACCTTATGTATTATGGTTTTTTGGAAGTGAACGATACAAATAATGGGTTGTTAAGAACCATTACCATTCCAAATTCTTGTTTTCTTCATACATTTTCGGAAAGAGAACTATATTAGAACCTTCTTACTTATGGTTTGAGAGCTTTAATGGTAAGGTTTATGGTAGACAGTAAGGTCCATAGATGTTTCTGTATTATCGGTCAACTTTATGTGGAATATATCGCGAATTGGTAAGCAATAATTTACAGGCAACAAATTCGCGCATAAAGTTGATCGATGTTACTAAACCACACATGGACCTTACTGACTACCATAACAATTACCATTAAAGTTATAAAATCATAAATAAAAAGGTTCTAATATATATTTTTTGTTTTCCAAAAATGTACGGAGAAAACAAGAATTTGGAATGGTAATGGTTCTTAACAAAACTTCCAAAAAACCACAATAAAGGGTGTCCACGATGAAATTGCCACACTATGAAATTGCTCTAACTTTTTAACCGTTGGGTAGAATTTAATGAAACTTTGGGTGAATTTAGTTCATAGTGCATTATTTACATTAAAGTCCTGTGATCAAAACTCGCGGAAATGGAGTCGAAAAAACAGCTCGTGCGTGATAAAATCTTGCGCATTCATCACGAGAACAAGGATCTCTCGCATCGTTCCATCGCTAAAACGTTGGGAATCGCGAATTCCATGGTGTCGCGAGTGATTAAGCGGTTCGAGGAACGGTTGACCACCGATCGGAAGCCCAGAAGTGAAGGAAAAAGTATTCCGTACAACACCAAAAATCACAACCGCATAGTTGGGGCCTTCAACCAAAATCCGAACGCCTCCGTTAGGGATGTGGCTAAGAAGCTGCACCTAAGCCGAAGTTTTGTCCAGAAGGCCAAAACTAAGGCTGGGCTTCGAACGTTCAAGGTACAAAAGGCTCCTAATCGCGACGAGAAGCAGAACAAGTCCGCCAAAACCCGTGCCAGGAAGTTGTACCTCAACATGCTGACGAAAGTTGAATGCTGCATCATGGACGACGAAACATATGTGAAGGCCGACTTCAAACAGATCCCCGGCAACCTGTTTTTCACGGCCAAGGATAAGTTCAGCGTTCCGGAGCATGTCCGCACTCAGAAGATGTCCAAATTTGCGAAGAAATTCCTGGTTTGGCAAGCACGTGCGGGAAGCGGAGTGCACCTTTCGTGACCCAGGACACGATGAACGGACAGGTGTACATAAAAGAGTGCCTCCAGAAGCGGCTGCTTCCTCTCCTGAAGGCCCACAACGTCCAAACAATCTTCTGGCCGGATTTGGCCTCATGCCACTACTCCAAGGACGTGCGGAAGTGGTATGCGGACAATAAGGTCAATTTCGTGCCGAAAATGTTCAACCCTCCCAACACTCCGGAGCTCCGCCCCATCGAGAAGTACTGGGCGATTATGAAGCAGCACCTTCTTAAACGACCTAAGGTAGTGAAGACAGTCGAGGAACTGAAGAAAGTATGGGTTTACATGCAAAAACCGGTTGATTCACAGGTTGTGCAGAATCTTATGGCCAGGGTTAAGACCAAGGTGCGGGAATTTGCGTATGGACTGTAAATAAAATACGAGTAAAATGGTAAAATGAAGTTTAATAGTTATTTCTCAATCCCTGAAAATTTGATGGCAATCGGATGAAAACTCGAATTTTGCGAATCAATTTTGTGTGTGGCAATTTCATCGTGGACACCCTTTACATAAGGTTAAAACTTTATCACATGCCGATGGCTGAAAGTCTCTTTAATAAAGAAAGATAAAGATAAGAGAACTTTATCCCACAAACGTTCATGCAAAGTTCCATAACCATTTCAGTTAAAGTTTAGCAGGGATTATAAACTATGTTTAACCATTTTTGATAAGGTCAAGTTATGGTTCACATTTATGCGGGTTGTCTAACATTTGAAGAGTGAGCCCCAAGTTTCCAGACAATGTGTTTTTTTGGGCCACGCTAAAGTTCAGTAAGACAAGAACTTAACAGTATGTGCGTTACAGCTTTACTTCCTCTGTTATAATTTTGATACATTTCGTTTAGTTGCAATCATCACTCTCCTTCATCTTCAGGGTTTTTAACGCTTCTGTAGCGAGTCGTTTTACCGGCTCTCAAACTTAGTGTTCTTGATGCGCTTCCACAGTTATCAATTTAGAGCTTTCTATACCAACACCTATGGATGTATTTGTATGTTGTGTGGCAAGCACAATGACACTCTATGCCCAAGGAAATCGAGAAAATTTCCATCCCAAATGATTTCCTCAACCAGACCTAAAATCTAACCCACCGCCTACGGCTTGGTTACACCGTGCCTTTACTGACTAGGCTATCTGAGGCTCCCGAACACGGCAAACACTCACTTATTTTGAAAACTTAAATTTTCTCTTCAGTACAACCGCACCACATCGTTCCTGACTACTTCCATCAAATTCCTCTTTATTGATTAAATGCTACATTCTTCAACTTAAACCTACATGTTCAACTGAGCAGCTCTCGTTCTACATTTTTATTAAAATCGCCCCAATTCACCAAGGTATTCGGTATTTCAGGATGCCAATTTACTTGTTTCCAACCGAGTACGTACTCGCCAATCCAATCCCGGTTAATTACAGTCAATTTTCGAAAACAAAACCACAATAGCTAGCAGAGCTCCGTTCGTCCATCCGTCCGTCTCTGTTCCTCGGCAGTAATTCATTGGCAGCTAACCGTTTCCATTTACTTCCTTCATACGGGGTGAGCTGAAAAGTAAAATTGCAGCTTGGTTCGTTTGCCACTAGACCTCGCATGGTTGGCTGCTGGTCAACTGGACACTCCAATTATTTCGATTCAGTACTCCTCCTGTGCTGTCTGCTATCCGGACCGTTTTTTTTTTATCTTTTGTTCAAACACAACAATCTAGTTTCAAGGGTGAAAAGGTAAAGCAATCTCTGGAAGCTTGTGTAGGTGTGATGATGGCATTGTATCTTTATTCCTTTCGCTGATCAATCCGCACTTCTCCGCTGCCCGATCCAGTGGGATAAGTTTCGATTTGTTGGCAATTTGCTGCGGGCTGTGTTGTTTATATTTTGATGATCTCCTTCAGGTTGTACAATCAGGATATTCCCACCCGGAGCGAGTACAACAGCACGGTGCAGATGGTGCAGATGTAGAAGGTAATCCAGCAGACCTTCACGTACGATCCGACGACCATGCCGGCCGATGACGACGACGGGGGTGAAGCTTTGTCTGCTGCAATCGAACGAAAGGAGAAGAAGAAAAAAGTTTGGTGTATTAGATTCTGTTGATTGTATAATTGATCAAGCTCATTATAGCAAATTCTCAATCCCATTTCCTCTCAAAGGCCTTAAACCATCTTACTGTCTACTTCATCTTTTTGATTTAGTCAAGCGGGTTCTTTCCCTGGCGGCCATTCAAAGCGATCCAGAAAGAAATAACCCCTTCAGCATGGAATTACTCGAGAGCACAACATCATCATCCAAAGTGGGACAACTATTTCAAGTGGTTGACCGGTCTGCCTCCTTCGGAGGTAGAGTGTCACCTTTTGAATCGCATCAATAAAACATCTGTGGCTCCATTCCTTTGATTGGAAACCAACCGAACACAACAGGCCAAATTGAAAAAAATAAAAAAGGACACACACAAAAGGACATCATCCACTTCCGCAAATAGCTCCGGCCTCAACAAAATAGCAACAGCAACGCACAAGGGTTCCGTTTTTAGTCTCCGAAATGAAGAAGGGGAAAAAATGCGAGCAAAGCAACAAAGTGGAAATTCAAATCATAAAAGCGAGCGGTCGTTTTTCTAAATCGGTTTATCGTCAACCCACCGACGACGACGTCAACAATGGGGTTGCACTGTCTATTCTCACTTGTTATGTGCCTTTGGTCTTATGCGGGGTTTCTGTTCGCTTATAATATGAACTTTCCAGAATGGCAATTCGCTCAAAAGGGTGGTGTAGGGTTTTTTATTCTTTTGTAAGGTGATGCTTCCGTTAGCTACTTTCACTTGACCGTTAATTGATGTGTGTGCATCACTGAAAGGGGATTTGAGAGCAGTTAATAGGTATGGATTCGTTTGGGTAAACGGTTTTGTAATGTAAACACAAGCTACACGAAAGGATCGATGTAGCCCTATCAACTCAGTAATGTAAAGGAGCCTGCGATAGAATCCACGATCTTCTGCTTCGAAAGCAAAAACGGTCACCACTATGCCACGGAACCGCTTACATCACAACATCAACTACGATTGACATAAAGCAATTCAAATGAAGCTTCAGGAGAAAGTCAATTAACATGTTATGCTATAGCACGTTGTGTTCACGGCATCAGATCATGTATCATATTTTCCCACTGTTTTTTTTTTTAATTTTTCAATTTGTTTCGACTGAGTTTTTTTTTCAGCGTGCTCTTCGAACAAACAACAAGAATAAAAATTAAAAAAATCCAATACTTAAACTTCTTTTATAAGGCTGTGTGTGATTTTGTGGGATATATTTTGTCCGGAATTAAAAGTGAAAATTCAAAATGTATTTTCCATATTTGAAAATTCCTGTGTAAACGATCGATTATCACAGCAAATTGCCATTCACAAAAGAATTCTAATTAGAATTATCATGAAATTCTTATATAATTCCCTAAAAATGTTTACAACAATTCCATTGGAATGCATTCAGACATATTTAAAAACTCCCATCAGCACTTTCTGAGAAGTCTTGTCTGAATTACCTTGGAACTGTCATCGCTTGATTTCATTCTCCTCAGTGCGTAAATGAGGTAATGTTTATTCCCTACGCTCTATCGAGCGAGAATAACGCTCTCTGGTCCTTGTTTAACATGAATTCAAATAAAAACTAGTAGGGTAGAGCGCTACTTCGTAGTAATCGCCCATTTCCGTTCTATCGATCAGAAAAGATCAATAATATCAATTATTTCACCGTGCACAAATCAATAATAGCATCCCACTGCGTCCTGGCAAGAAGTACGGTCGACTTGTTTCGCGCTCCGTTGTTTTGGAAGTTTTCTCGGTATTCGCTTGATATAAATTATCAGTTTTTTTCTCACTAAGTGACTCCTGGCATAGTTCCCGGTAAATTGATCGAAAAGTGAGTTTTTTTTTTGTAGTAGAAAGTGTCATTTTCGGAACGATTAATCCGTGCTATTGGTAATTCGCAAACCAATTTGGGCATCATCGTTGCGTGGTCACGCATACGCGCTCACGCATACCCGCTTACGTATCATCATCATCGAGTGTGAGCACCCGTTTCTACATCTACATCGTTCATCAATCATCGTGCGCCTGTGTGCGCTGAGTACCGCGCCTCGATCAAGTGCACCACAGCGAAGGTCATCCACGCAGCGCGTCTCTTCCAGCCATCTGTGTAAACGCCTACACATATAACGCCCGGTGGTAGTAGTATAGGATTATCAGATAAGTTTTTGTTTTTTTTCTTGTTTCTTTTCCTCCCCCATTAGTTAAATTTTCATTTTGTATTTCTGTGTTTGTAGTGTTTTCTGTGTATTGTGTCTGTGCGTTCAGTGGGAGAGCGTTTTGCGCTCCCACTAGTTGAACAAAATGGATGTTCTGTCAGAAGACGACATGGATGACCATTCATCTAAGAAAAATGATGATGTCATCCCTGGTTCGTCGTCTCAGTCTGTCAATGGGCAGGCTGAGAAAAGCTCCAGATTGCGGGCCTACCCGAATGACTCGACTGGCCCATGGGTTGTCTATTTTCAGCCCAAAAACAAACCCTTGAATGTTGTTCAAATATCTGACGATCTGACAAAGCGATTCTCTGCCGTGACCGAAATAACGAAGGTTAGGCACAACAAACTTCGTGTGACCGTCGCTAACCTGAAACAGGCCAATGAAATTGCTGTTTCCCAGTTTTTCACACTGGAATATAGGGTGTACATTCCAGCCTCTGATGTGGAGATCGAAGGCGTGGTCACTGAGGCGAGTCTGAACCCCGAGATACTGGAGAAGCAAGCGGTTGGCCGATTCAAGAACCCCTTGCCTCCTCCGGTAAAGATACTGGCCGTTCATAGAATGAAGTCAGTATCGCTCAGCGAGGGTAAAAAGAGTTTTACCCCCACAGACTCGTTTCGGGTGACCTTTTCTGGATCTGCCCTTCCTCAATACATCGAGCTGGGAAAACTTCGTCTTCCTGTGCGGTTGTTTGTACCTCGGGTCATGAACTGCCAGAATTGCAAGCGGTTTGGACATACGGCCTCCCACTACGGCAACAAGGCACGCTGCTCCACATGCGGGGAGAAGCATGAGGATGGCGCCTGCGCAGCTACTGCACCAAAATGCGTGTACTGCAACGGAACTCCTCCTCATGCTCTCTCGTCATGCCCGGCGTACAAACAGCTCGGGGACAAAATGAAACGCTCCCTTAAGGAACGTTCCAGGCGGTCTTTTGCAGAAATGCTTAAGACAGCCACGCCATCGACCACTGACAAAAATCTCTTTTCTCTTTTGTCAGATGACGAGACTGACTCTGACTTGGCTGAGGAGGGAACTTCTTTCAGTTTTCCGGAAGGTTCTGCAAGGAAACGAAAGCGCATCCGTTCGCGGATTGTTGCAAATAAAGAACCCCAAATCAGCTTGCCCAAATCAAGGAGTGGTGGAAAAAAGGAGACTTCTACTCCTCCTGGATTCCGCAGAACTGACTATACCCAGGATTTTCCACCTCTTCCGGGGACATCCAAAACCCCTGATGCCCCAATTTTAAGAACAGAAACCCCTTCTTCATCTGGGTTGTTCTCATTTGATGACATTGTGGACAGTATTCTCAAATACCTCAACATTTCTGATCCTCTGAAAAGCATTGTCCTCACATTGCTTCCCACTGTGAAATCCTTCTTGAAGCAATTGACTTCAAAATGGCCACTTCTTGCAGCTATCATCTCCTTCGATGGATAATTTTCCAAACGAGGTCGGGGATTTGATCACTGTTCTACAGTGGAATTGTCGAAGTCTTATTCCGAAATTAGATTCGTTCAAGTATTTAGTCCATAACAATAATTGCGATGCATTCGCCCTCTGTGAAACATGGCTCTCTTCAGAAATTGATCTCCCTTTTTATGATTTTAACATTATTCGATTGGATCGTGAGGATTCACGTGGAGGAGGGGTACTTTTGGGGATCAAAAAGTGCCATTCCTTCTATAGAGTGAATCTTCCCGAATTCCCCGGTATTGAAGTTGTCGCATGTCAGGCTACCATTAAAGGTAAGAGCCTTTGTATTGCTTCTGTATATATTGCTCCTAGAGTCTCTGTTAATCGCAAACAACTTTTCGACATATGTGCGGTACTTCCCGCTCCATGGTTGATCATGGGAGATTTTAACTCCCACGGTACAGGCTGGGGGGAGCTGTACGATGATAACCGTTCTACTTTGATTTATGATCTCTGCGACAACTTCAACATGACAATCCTTAACAATGGAGAAGTAACACGTTTGGCTGGTCCATCCTCGAATGGTAGCAGATTAGACCTCACCTTTTGCTCCAATTCACTATCGTTGGATTGCACTTGGCATGTAATCCAGGATCCGCACGGTAGTGATCATTTGCCGATCAAAATTTCGATTGCCAGTGGGTTCAACTCGTCAGAATCCGTTAACGTCGCGTATGATCTAACCCGTAACATCGATTGGACTAAGTTCCAATCCGCGATAGACGATACAGTATCGCCGTTGGAGGAATATAATTTCCTCTCTAATCTCATCGTCGACAGCGCACTTCAAGCTCAAACACGACCGGTGCCGCGATCGTCTATTCGTAAGAAAACACCATCGCTCTGGTGGGATCAACAATGCACGGAGGTTTACCGTAAAAAGTCCGACGCGTTTAAACTTTTTCGGAAACGCGGAACACGTGAGCATTTCAACGCATACACATCTCTTGAACGCGAACTCAAGAGCCTCATCAAGGCCAAAAAACGGGGTTACTGGCGGCAGTTTGTAGACGGATTGTCGCGCGAAACGTCTATGAATACGCTTTGGAGTACGGCGCGAAGAATGCGTAACCGGTCTACTAACAACGAAAGCGAGGAATGCTCGGATCAATGGATTCTTAAATTCGCGCGAAAAGTGTGTCCGGATTCCGTGCCGTCGCAGTTGATTCCTCGCGAAACCGCGAATTCGGTAGACGAAATCAGTCAGCCTTTTTCAATGGTGGAACTTTCACTCGCTCTCCTTTCGTGTGGCAATACTGCCCCGG